GCTGGACAAGGCCACCCCGGTCAGAGCCCTAGGGGTTCAAATGACGGCGGGAGGCTGCCCACCCTCTAATGGCGAATGGATCAGAGAACCGACTCTTCAGAAAATGGCGGCGTGGAAAGGAAAACACACTTCACTTTTTGGCCGCGCCTTAGTAATAAATAACGTGGTGTTAGTCGCACTGTGTTACAAATCACTCATATGGCCTCTGAGTAGAGGGGCACAAAAAACGTTGCGAAGACAAGTGGCCGCCTTCCTGTGGAGAGGAGACCATGAATCTCCAGCGACAATCAGCAGAGTGGCTTGGGACTCTGTCATTCAGCCCAAATCTCAAGGAGGACTAGGCATCATCGACCCCTCCACGCAGATAGCAGCGCTCGGCTTAAAATGGATCCAAAAACTCATAATGGAACCATACTCTCCATATTCTTAGCCCCGCAAGCACCCTCTTACGTCGACCCCCTGTTATGGTTAGAGGACAGATACTAGGCTCTTCCACGACCCAAAGGCGGAACTAGTAGAACCCGAGACACATTCTGGCCGGGTCTCATCAGAAACTGGAGGAAATTACCCCTGCCAGACAAACGGGCCCTAGACAGATGGGAAAAAGTATATAGGCAACCCTTGTTCGGCAACCGATGGGTCACTGACACGAGGGGCCAGGTTTTACACAGCACAGCAGTGCCCTGGAAGAACTGGGTGAAAAAGGGGATCACTAGGGTCGGGGACCTGTGGTACAAACAAGAGCGGGGTTGGAAAACAGTGGACCAACTAAAAGATCAACTCAAATACGCCCGAGCAAGGGATGACCGTTTGGAAGACCTAATCTTCTCTGTACCACTGGACTGGTATCGCATCCTCAAGAAGGGACCTAATCTGCAAAAGGGGGACTGGGTTGCAATAGCTGAGAGGAAGGGGTGGGTTGGCCTGATTCACGACCTCCGTCAGGAGGACGCACTTATCGAACTTTACGCAGTACGAGGAGGAAGTCGGTTGGAGGGCAACCGTGACCCATTCCAATGGTTGGACAGAAACCAGATCTTCAGAATCAGGGTAATAGAAGATGGACAGGAAAAGCTGGTGTATCGACCGGAAACCTCGATTGCCATGCTACCCTTTGACCCGCAAAACTGGAGTTGGACCCGCTCGAGATCCCCCCCGAAGGGATCAAAAAAATCCCTGTTCCTGCACAGACTCTCGGTCAAATCAGCCTATCGGATGCTCCGTCCAAAGAAAAAATTGGTGGACAGCATCAACGACTGATGGGCAAAGCACCTCAACATACCAACAGGCCTGCTGAAACCAATCAAGTGGTTTCGGGAGACAAAGAAGAAACCGGCGAAGATCACATCCCTACAATGGCAGATTGCGCACATATGCCGTCCCACCCAAAACTGGCTGATAGATCACACCCGACTAGAACAGAAGAGGTTAGCATCACCGTGGTGCCCCAGCTGTATGCAAAACTTCCCCAACAGGAAGATACCAGAAACCATAGAACACATATTTATGCAGTGCCCAGGTGCAGTCCTCACGTGGAGATGGTGAGACCGGATATGGAGGAAAACAGTAGGTGAAGAGGACTGACCCTGGGAATGGAGGGCAATACTCACAGGGCATTGGCCCCAAGGCCAGTCAAGTGAATTCAGGTCTAACATGTTCCAACTGGGCAAACGAGCTATTCTATGGATGTTGTGGTGGAAAAGATGTGCATTGGCCATTGACAGAGCAAGAGTGGAAGGACCGGAAGCAACAGAGCAAATCAAGTCGCATATACAAACAGAACTGCGAGTGAGATGGCAGGAGACGAAAAAGAAATTGGCACTCCAGAAATCCAAAAGAAAATTGATACTTACAGCAGAGAATGGTTGGGGAGTGAACAGGGAGGATGGATAGCATCAGTACAATGGGAAGGAAAAAACAAAGGAAATGAGCCACAAACAGTCGAAGGGAGAAGGGGAACACTATACAGGGATTATAAGTTAGTCTTCAACAACTGGACGGATTTAGACCCAACAGTGCCCCTTCGCCCTCCACAAGACTTCCCAGACCCCTTCCCCCCAAATGCCCTGGCAATTGTAGATCAGGCATGGTACGGACATTAAGGAGGACAGGAGTCGGGGGGCGATCACAGTTGGAGAATGCAGGGGCCTCACGACAGCAAGACAACCTCCAACCCTCTGGTGCCCCCCAGAGCAAGGATGGTGTCGAGCAGGTGAAGGCCCTGACAAAGCTACATGAACTGCAAAGTTGACCAGCAGGGGAAAGGTTGAGCGGATAAAAGGCGAGTGCAGCAGGAGAGGAAGAGGGTGAAAGGAAGGGGGAAACTAGGAGTATCAGGAGTTTTCTGGCGCCTCACACCAGGCGAAGAGGTTCTCCCCTTTCAATGCCCTGTTCAGTCAATCCTCTGGAAGTATCCAGAGCAATCAATGCTGACAGAAGGCTCCCATTCCCTGAGTAACTGTCTGAGTAACTATCTGAACACCAATCTGATGTAAGAACTGTTTTGCAGCAAGATGTATCAACGGGACGCTGGACCCGGTTTCCAGCAGGTGCTGCTCCCCACCAATAGATGGAGCCTCCCCGATGCAACTAGTGGTGTCTGCTCTTATCAGCACCTCTAGTAACAGCTCGGGTTGTTTCCAAAAAAAAAAAAAAAAAAAAAGAAATCAGGCGGGCCATGGTTGTTGCTCTTTTTTTTTTCGTTGTTTTGTTTTTTGTTGTTGTTGTTCCTTTCCAAGGAGGCCACTTCCAAGATGTCTAGGCTACGCCCATGGCTGGGCCACGACCAAGATGTCTAGGCCACACCCGTGGCTGAGCCACGGCTGAGATGTCTAGGCCACGCCCGTGGCTGGGCCACGACTGAGATATCTAGGCCACGCCCATGGCTGGGCAACAGCCGAGATGTCTAGGCCACACCCGTGCCTGGGCCACGACAAAAAGGGGTTTCGTCGCGTGGCTGGGCCACAGCTGAGATGTCTAGGCCACACCCGGAAAAAAAGAGAGATGATATGGTCGTGAAACCAGCTGTAGGGAGAGGGAAAAAAAAAAAAGGACTAGCCATTGGAGCCGATACCGGTATGGTGGTACCGGCTCCTGCCCCAGGCCACGGGAAAACAACAGGTACCGGTACCTCCCATTTTTGCCGATTGTTGAACTGGCAGGACCAGTGCCGGTACCGGTACCTGTTTTTTTTGCAGTTTGTAAGTGCTCTCCACCTGCAGTGTCCTGTTATTTCCACGAATTTGAAACAGGACACCGCACTCCAGCGCAGTTCTTTTTTTTTTTTTTTTTTTGAAAGGCCCTTGTGCAAGGCCTCTATCCCAGTGGTGGTAAGAGAACCACCGGGATTGAGGCTTTGCCTAGTGGGCCGCTCGCAGTTCTCTCTTTTTGTTTTTCTGTTTTTGGGAAACATCCGGTGTGGGGCTGCCGTCCCATGGTGGTTAGAGAACCAGTGGGATCGAGCCCGCACCTGCCGGAACCGGGCCTGGTGTCCCTTATACATCTTATTTGTTGTTTAGCGTTTTTTCCATTCTGTTGGTCTTTTCCTTTGTTACTTTGCCAATAGTCTTGCTAGCCTGGGGTTGGACGTCACAGCCGCGCGGAAAGAAATTTGGTTTCCAAAACCACTTCGGCGAGACCCCACACAGCCGCGCGGCAAGAAATATGGTTTCCAAAACCACTTCGGCGAGACCCCACAGCGAGCGGATTCGGTCTTCGGGAAGATGGGAGTAGTGTTTCC